TAATAGTTCTCTTAAATAAAAGATAATTTTGCAGAGTTTTCGCACTCATGGGTAGTTTATTTCAAATAGCAATTGCATTTACAGAAAAGAACCGACGATATTTAACAGTACGTGCTAGAGGCAGAAATAAGAAGACCTCACGATGACTGTTACGTCGTGGGTGGATATGATGTCTCAAAGAGGTGAGTGGGTTAAATGTGTGATTTTATAAGAGTTTAAATAGCAAAAATAGTCCCTTTTGTAATCTACGGAACCATAAAGAATCGAGGCCTGTAAGTCGGCAACGTTCTTGGTAAGACAAATGTCGGTGTTCTGGGGTTAAAATTCTCTTGGTGAAAAAGTGTTGAACGGATTCTATTTTCTTCCGCTCAGTAGCACGCATGAGGCTCAGAAAAAAGTGATGGATTTACGTGCACTTCTGAGGCAGTTTGGGTAACTATATAAGTACCAGATTCACCAAGTCTCGACATCCTGTCAGTCTACCGATCGTCAAGATATGATCCCAGGGCTGACGTCCGTCTGATTTGGGGCCAGGGAAGATTCGGTATTCATTCCGACGTTTGAATCACGGGAGACTTCAGTGCACCTCTTATCGAATGAGTCAGGCTTACGCATCTGGTCCAGACCATGCTTTTGACCGACGTTTGCTGGACATGACGCTCAGATTATTCCTCACTCAGCACATCTCGTTTCCGACGAGGGTGCGCGAAGGGCAACAGTCAAATTGTCTGTATCTCCTCCTTAAGAAGTCGCTGGGCAGCATCGAGGAGGTGCAGCGTCTAACTCCCTAAGGTCTAAGCAACCACGTCGTACTGTTTTGGAAGTTCTCCATCTTTTCTCTGCTCAAACAAGCCGCCAGTGTTAGAACAAATAATCGGTGCGGTGGCTTGGCCTAAGAGAGAGCTGAACAAAGCACCCTAAACTAGGAATCATCGTTTTTCGGTGACAGGAGTAAGGATTGGGACACGTTTTGTGAGTTATTTCACACTCTTAGCAGAGATCACTGCCATGCTTCACCAAAGAAACTGAACAACAGACCCGCCTGGGTAATACAAGATCTGAAGAAAGAAGTAAATAAAAGGCGGAGGTTTTGGAGGGAATTTTCGTCGGATAGGAGCTCCGTGTCAATTAATTCCCGCAAGGCACACATGAACCTAGTCAAGAGACCAATCCTCAGGACAGGGCGTGCTTTTGAAAAAGGCCTACTGAACAGGGCCACAGAAAATCCGGAGTTATTCTTTGGTTATAAAAGAAGGAGCACGCGATATAAAGACCCGATATTATTATTGAAAGCTAGTGAAGTCCTAAAGCTCAGTGAATATGGAGAAAAGTCAGAGCACCTTTCACAATTATTTAAGCCCATATTTTCGAAGGGAGGTGCTTTTATTCCTATCGACTGTGACACAATGAAAGGGTCAACGACTGGGACTGTTTTCTTCGCCGAAGCTACTGTTCGCAGAGAATTGTTGACGTTATATGAGTCTTAATCACCTGGACCGGATGAGGTGTCGAATTTAGTGTGGTTGACAAGACAAAGATTCCCAATCAAAAGTCAGGGAACACGGAGTGATTCGGACAACTTAACTGTTTTGGAAGTACGTGCACAAAGGCTCTGTAGGCAGTCACCGCGAGCGCGCTCTCCAGGCAAATTGTTGTTTGTGTCCGCCCTTGAGGTGCTGAGACCCAGCGCGTGTGTGCCTTTCGTTGACTCCGCGTCCGTCAGCCAATCAGAGGGGGGCAGCGTTGAGTGGCATGGAGCACTCGCGAGGTTAATGACAAAAAACAGACATCCTACGGCGCGCCTTTCGAATTCGGTTTGAAATTTCGACCTCCGAGGGATTTGCTTTTTCCGGGATTTCTGCCTACTGGACGCTCTGCGGGCCCATTTGGATTAAGAAATTGAAGCGTAATCAGCAATTCCTCAAACGATCCACTCAGAACTCCGACAGAACTTTCTTTGGGACGGCCATACTCCTTCGTATCAATTCTCTGCCAACAGCACCGCGGGGTTCTCCAGATCCAGAAGCGGCTGAGTCGTTTGATATTTACTTCATATTTTTGGCTTGGTTAAAAAGCTTTTCACACACCTTTAAATACTTCGTCCATACCTAGAATCCCTTGCGTATCGTTTGAATTAATAATGGGAGTCGACAAAACACCATCAGGACAATGGGCGAAAAACTCGCCGCAAGTAGGACTCGAACCCAGGTCCAGTCGTAGTGTGACCAGCGACATGACCGCTAGACTATCGGCGCACGCCCAGCCGACTGAAATAAATAAGGGAGTAAACATTATTCGTAGTACGAACGACACTATGTATGAAGCAAAGTCAATTGAGAAGGCCTGGCCACCTATGATTAGCGCTCGCTCTCTTTATAATTGCAACCAGGGGCCCGCAAAGCGCGCTATAAGCGTTATCACAGCAAAACTTGTTAGTTACGAGGACGAGCCATGCACTGGATGCTCATTTATTCTGCTGAAAGTCCAAAAACTCGAAAAAGAGTTGACTGCTTTAAGGGAACTCGTGCAAGCGAACGATAGTGTGCAAAACGCGGTGAATAGCGCTAAAGTTAGCAAGAAAAAGGGAAAGAGCAAAACTCTAAAACAGCCAAAGAACAAAGCATGTGGAAAACCTCTGTGCAAGAGCGCCGATACCCAGGACGATTGGAAAATAGCAACGGAGTCTCTTGTTTCTATGGGAGATAACCCAAGCGAGCCATCAACTTCTCTTAGCCATTCCGCGTGTTCAACAGGACCCTCAGTTGGAAGTGAGGAAACAAGCTCATGGCAAGATGGAAAGGGTAAGCGCCACAACGGGAGTATAGAACCCCAGACGACTCTGGTGGATCTTCTGAGACCTTCAGCTGACAAGGCCACCGGAAACAGAAAAAATGAACCCCTTGATCGTCAGCACTGCGTAGTCGTCCAGGGTCTATCGAAGTCGGATGCTCCTACCCCGAAGGAGAGGATCTCCGCTGACCTTAATATGCTTCAACACCTACTGAACGAAATGCTTAATTCGAATGAAAAGATAACCATTCGCGCAGCCTTCAGGATCGGAAAGAAGGTGAGCGAACAATCAGAAACTGCGCGGCCACGACCTCTGAAAATTGTTTTGAACAGTAAAGAGGAAGCTAGCTTACTTCTGTCCAGGAAAAGCAGCCTCCGAAACTTTCACAAGGAAGTTTTTTTCAGCCTGCCTATTCTCCAGCGGAACGTCTGAAACGCCGCGAATTGGTAACGGAGTTGAAGAGGAGACTTGCAGCGGGAGAGAGCAACTTGGCCATTTTCAGGGGGCGAGTAATACAGAGGAACGCGATGTTGTTTTGGAACCAGCCGGTCATCATGATGGCGGCAGCAACATAATATTGGCAAACCCGAGACAAACCGAACGAAGCACTGTCGAATGTTGCAAACTAAAATTCTTTTACACCAATGCTCAGAGTCTGTTTTCCAAGCTTGACGAACTGAGAATACAGGTAGACGATACTCTTCCCGATGTTATAGCAATAACAGAAACGTGGCTGTCAGAGGACGTTGGCGATTGCGAGGTAGCATTAACAGGATACCATTTGTTTAGGAGAGACAGGCGAGGCCGCCCGGGTGGAGGAGTTGCCATGTATGTCAAGAGCAACTTAGCAGTGTGTGAAAGGACCGACAAGATTTCTAACGACACAGAGGCAATTTGGCTGACTATAAAGGCGCGGGGATCTCAGTCCCTCGAAGTCTTAACTATCTACCGGCCCCGCAGGCGGATCCCGACCCAGATACTTGTCTACTGAAAAGCATCAAAGAGATCACCAGCCGACCAGACGTTGTTATCATGGGGGATTTTAATGCACCATGCATTCAATGGAGCGATATGCATGCGAAATGCTCAATGAATACCTTCGATTACCATCTACTAAAGACAACTCTAGAAGCTCTACTCACGCAAGATGTCCTGTTTCCAACTAGAGCTCGTGGAGGACAACAGGCCAGTTGTCTGGACCTCGTTTTTACCAAAGATCCTGACAGTATAGACGAGGTGTACTACCTACCCGCGCTCGGTCGAAGTGATCATGTAGTGCTTTTATGGGAGTACTTGCTGTATTCTGAACCGTGCACAAAAGACAATACGAGGCCAAATATATGGAAAGGGGACTTTCGCCAAATGAGAGCTGAGGCATCACAAATAGACTGAGATGTTCTCTTCTCCGGAAACGTTAACGAGGACTGGAATTTATTCAAGGATCGTTTACTGCATCTAATGAAGAACCACTGTCCCTTATCAAAGCCTAGGACATCCAACCGCCCTCAGTGGCTTACACGAGAACTCAAAAGGGAGACCAACAAGAAAGGTAGGTTATGGAAAAAATTTCGCGAGAACAACAATGCAGCGTTTGCAGAATACAAAATTCAAAGACGAGGTGGCGAGCATACGTAGCTTTCGATAAATTCTCGTCGGGCCAGTACA